TGAAGAGTGAAGGGGGTAAAGGAAGGGGTAGGGCAAGAGAAGGGAAAACAAGGAGAAGGGGGGCAGAGAGGGGGAGGGGGGAGATATGAGAGGGTGAGATGTCAGGAGGGGAGAGTAGACCAGCTCTGTCCCCGATTGAAAAAAAAAAAAAAAAAAAAAAAAAAGGGGGAGGGGACAGGTGGAGGGGAGAAGGAAGAGAGGAGGAGCGAGGAGGGCGAAAAAGCGACAATAGGAGATCCTCCGGCCGGGAGATCTGAGTGAGTGCTGTGAGTGTAGTGGATCGGCTAGAACAGTGGCCAGGCGGCTACGTACGCCCACTTCATAGCGAAGGTGATATCAAAGCGACTCATGCCACCGAAGATGAAGTATTCTTGCTGGGTGGACTTGCTAGACGCATGTGTAAGGAGTCAGGGTGGTCTGTGTATAAAACATCTGGTATCGAATAACTGTTAGTTGAGTGTGTAGAAGAGGAGAAAAGGTAGCATGTTTTCCCAGGACGAGGATCATGGGTGGGGAAGAAGGAAAAGCCTCGGAAATGCATGTGAGGCCCTAAATGTGGTAAACCATAGCATGGAAGCATACAATGGCTGGGCTGCTCACAGGGGAACCCCAAGGAGCCTTGGTCGGGAGACACCGATGATCATTGCTCATCCTGGGGGTGACCAAATGAGGATAAGGCCTAAAGAATCAACATTAATATAACTCCAATGCAAGCAGTTAACATTAGATATGCAACAAAAAGAATCAAACAACAAAGCAAAAAATACATACCAATAATAGACAACACAAAAACAGCGCAAAATCTAAAATTAAAATAACACAAATAAATAAACACTAAATTTATAATAAGTGTCCGTGAAAAAAATATATATATAAGTCCTTATTCCCATCAAAACCAATAAAAAATCAATCAAAAATCTTCCAAATGTGCTTCCACCTATCCACCACGTGAGAAATAATGTTGACCGCACTCACCAGATGGAGGTGAGTAATGAGCATTATAGGATATAAGGGATCCTATAACCCCTCCAAAGGAAGTCAAATCTCCTTCTTCACCCTGCTATGGTATAGCACTCGTTCCACTCTATTTCTCCATGGATTCCTCAATAGTGTGCAGAGAAAAAAACTACATAGTGTAATACTGCCACTCCATATAGAATATAAAGATAGAATAAGGCCACTCACATGTTTAAATAAAATTAAAAGCCTTGTTTAATAGCCTCAATGGCTTCAAGATAACCAATTTTCAGAATGTAGATATAGGGATCTCACGCTTCTATAGTCACTGCAGAGGATGAACAGCCTTCCACCTCCAAGATGGCCGCTTGAACCGCATAAGCCGGCGTGCGTTACAAACACCGGAAGTGATGTTAACCAGAATGACGGCGGACCGGAAGTGCGTCAACGCGTTTCGCCCCACCCACAGGGCGTTCTCAAAACACTGCCTTCAGTGTCCAGCCGACATTTATACAGCTCAGGGAGAGCTCCCATCCATCTCCTATGCAAATATCTGTATGTACCTCCCACTGTCACCCCTGGTGAATAAACCATTCAAATCGCTGCTGCTAGTACCCGCCCACTACCCTTACCTCATCCTCTGTGAACTAAATGTGAGATTCCTTCACAGTTTATATACAAACAATGACCCCCAATTTGGACAATATAACAGAAATCAAAACAAATATATATTGAATCGCATTAATTGAAAATAGCATTTATCATATTAAAACTGATCAAGAAAAATGTATTCTTTAATACAATATGAAGATCTAAATAAAATTGCAAATAATGAAAATAAATAAATAAAAAGTTAATGAAAATACAAATAAAAATGAAAAAATGAAAATAAAAAATAAAAAATATTAATAAATAATAATGAAAAATAAAATAAAAAATAATAAAAATAAAATTAAAAATAAAAATAAAATAAATATAAAAAATTAACATAATAATAATACAATATATATATATATATATATATATATATATATATATATATAAAATAATATAAAATGAATGAAAAATATAATAAATAAAAATAGAAATAAAAAATGAAAAAAAGAAAATAAAAATAATAAAAATAATAATAAAAACGAAAAAATATCTAAATGGAAATGAAAATCAAAATAAAATACAAAAAGTGTGCTCAAATAAACATAAAATTAAAACACATGAAAAATTGAAGCTATAACACCAGAAACCTATATTGGATGCAAGCATTAACCTTCCACTGAGTAGAGTGACTGACACCCACCGAGAATAATATTAATGATCTCAGTCAATCTATTCACCAATTGGACAAGAAACAATTAATGTCAATCTCTGCATTTAAACCTTTGGGGACCAATGTCCCCATATTATAAATCCACTTAGTTTCATTTTGTGAGACTCCTATCAACATATCCCCTCCTCTCCATGGCGTCTCCACTCTATCTATTCCACAAAATTTTAAACAGGTTGGATCCCTATTATGACAAACCCTAAAGTGATGTGATAAACTGTGATACTTAAATCCTTTTTGGAGGTTTCTAATATGCTCTCCCAATCTAACAGATAGTTTTCTAGTGGTTCTCCCTATATATTGAAGGTTACAAGATCATTCAAGCAAATAGGTAACATGGTTAGTGTCACATGATATAAACTTCTTAATTTTATAAGATGAACCGATAGAGCTTGATTTGAAACTATCAAAGTATTTTTTATTATTATCCCCTTTCAAAAGCCTACATGCGGAACGTCGTCTGCATTTGAAAAAACCAACTCTGTCCAAAAAGGTGGTTATTTTCCTCGGTTTATCAGGAACATTTTTTTACCAACTTATCCCTTAATACAGGCGGTCTTCTATAAATGAAGCTAGGCCTTTCCGGAAGTAGTTTATTCAAAACCTCATCTCTTTTTAGAATCGGCCAATGCTTTCTTATAATCCTTTCCACTAATTTAAATTGGCGAGAATAACTCGTTATAAAAGCCATATCTCCCATATGCCTATCTTTAGACTGTTTGACCAGCAGTTCTTCCCTATTCATTCTCTTGACCTGTTCTAGAGCACATTGCAAGGACTGTTCTTTATAATCTTTTTCTCTAAATCTATTCAGTAACATATCAGATTGATTTTGAAATACCTTATTATCATCACAGTTACGTTTTAACCTAATAAGTTGACCTTTAGGAATGGCCTTAAGCCAATTCCTGTGATGACAGCTATGGTTAGGAATGTACCCATTCCTGTCAACATCTTTAAAGTGGGTCTTAGTAAAAAATCTATTTCCTTGCCTGTACACCGTCAGGTCCAGAAAATCAATGGCTGTTTCACTCATGTGATAGCTGAACGATAAGTTAACATCATTATTCCCCATTTTATTAATAAAGTCAACAAGTCCTTCTCTCTCTCCTTTCCATACAATGATGATGTCATCTATGAACCTTCTATATAATAGCAATTCTTTCTTACTACCTTCAAAAATAGCCTTGCCTTCCCACCTACTCATAAATAAATTGGCTACTGACAGTGCATACTTAGCACCCATAGCTACACCCATAATTTGTTTATAAAACTTATTAGAGTGCCAGAAAACATTATGTGTCATAGCCAGATCTAGACATTTTACAATAAATTCTATTTGGTCAAAACCAACTCCTGACTTAATTTCCAATGCCCATTTGACTGCTAGTAGGGCATCATGATGTTTTATATTAGTATATAATGAATTCATGTCTACACTGGCCATGACACAATATTCACTTTCATTAATATCTTTGAGTAAGTTGATCAAATCCCCGCTCTCTCTTAGGTAAGCGGGAAAGGAAGAAACCAAGGGTTGCAGAAACTTGTCAACATATTCTCCCAGTCTAGAGAACAGTGAGTCAATCCCATTTATGATCGGTCTTCCTGGAGGTTTTGCCAGATTTTTATGAATTTTAGGTAATTGGTAAATCACTGGTACTTTAGGAGCCTTAGGCACTAGATATTTTGTCTCCTTACTATTCAATATTCCCAATTTTTCTTATTTTATTTCATTATTTTAATTTTAGATGTTGCGCTGTTTTTGTGTTGTCTATTATTGGTGTTTTTCACTGGTGCACAGCTGCATAATCATATAGTTTTTTCTTTCTTTTTTTGGCGCTGGGATATATACTTTTAGTACTTTTTTTAAGTAAATAATCTCCCTCTTTAGGCAAAACAATGATGGAAGTTTCCATCATAGAAGAGGGTAATGTGCCTTCCTCAACTGCCCAGTTAAACATTTAACATATCTGGCAACAATATCTCACATGATGTTTACACGTCTCAGCAGGCAGGCCATCCAGCATTGGAGACTCCTGATTTGGCAATGCGGATACCGCCTGTAGTTACTCTTCCAAAATGATAGGGGCATCAAGCATTTCTCTTTCTTCCCTGGAGAGGCATGGAACCCTTAGATCTCTAAAAAAAAATCCCACATCTCCCCCTCTACATCTTTAAATTCCCGCCTCCCCCAATAAATGAGACGTATTATCGGATACATGGTCTGTCTAAGCACCCAATAGGAACCTGTCCACCCTCCTATCTAGGACCATATTAAAATCTCCCACAACCAATACCGGGACATGAGGCTTGTCAGACATGAATTGTATCAAAAGATAAAGACCTCAACCTTAAATTGAGGGGGAATACTGAGTGATATTAGGTTCAAAGGCTCCGGTGCCTCAATTGAGAGGTTATTTCCTTGGTGAGACGTATCTCCTGCAGGCAAAGTACAGCATTATATGCAGTTATTGTAGAAAAAAACTGCTGTTCTTTTTACAGGGTTCCCCAACCCACAGACATTCCAGGAGCATATTTTCATAACTTTAGACTGTGTGTGTGTGTGTGTATATATATGTATATATGTATATATATATATATATATATATATATATATATATATATATGTATATAAAATATCATATCAGTAGTCCTGACATTATATAAGACAACACCTTTATCTTCCATTCTGCTTCTTTACCAGAAACACTTAGAAAAAGAAGCAGAATATTGTCTTATACTGTATAACTTCAGCCTCAATCCTGGTCACTCTGTGGAGGTGGAGGGCTTCATTCCAAAGGTCTGTAAAGTGTATTCCATTAAATTGGTAAAAGATGACAATAATTTGGTGCTACACTTTAACCCTCGATTTAGCCACATCAATGGAGACAAGCAAAAGATAATCTTGAACTCGATGGAGGATGGTGTTGGGGGAGCGAAGCAGAAGGAAAGCTTCTTCCCCTTCCAGGAGGAATCAGACACCACGGTTTCAAGTTTGAGCAAGACAAGATCACCATATAATTACCTTCTGGAGATCCTTTCTCATTTCCAGTCCGCTTCCCCATAGAGGAGATCTCATACTTGTCCTTGATAAACTTCCAGCTCAAGTCAATCATACTAAAATGAAGAATCCTGCAATAGAGGCTCTGAGGCTATGAAATGGCCATATTGGATGAAGAAGATACATTTTCTCCTGTTACACACCCTCCTCCCTCCAATCTTCATTCTTGATGCTCATGTAGCCATACATTGTGCTTTTTTAAGTTCATTTACTAGAAATGAATTGCGTTCACATTTTAAAAAAAAGATGAAAAAAAAAAAAAGATGTTCCTGAAGACGTCAGTGTTACAAAACTAGTTGGACGAGGCTTACTACGTCACTTCCGCTATCATACTTGCAGTCAGTGGAGAGCAGGTGGCTCCAGAGATCGGATTTACACTATTGGAGGCTGCCTCCTGTTTTTTTTCCCTTTATATATACAAATTGAAGGAAAATTTAGGAAGAAGTGGTCCTGGGGAGCAAATATGGATAAAGCTGCTGGAAGGAACATATTATTATTATTATACAGCATTTATATAGCGCCAACAGTTTGCTCAGCGCTTTACAATATAACGGGAGACAATACAGTAACAATAGAGTTCAATACAAGAGGGATTTAGGGGCCCTGCTCCTTGGAGATAACAATCTAGGAGGGGGAGGCTAGTGGTAGAAAAGGTTGTAACTGTGGGGGATGGACTGGTTGGAAGAGTAGAAGATTCCAGTATTAGCTGAGGGCACGATAGGCTTCCCTGAAGAGATAGGTTTTTTCAGAGATCGTCTAAAAGTGAGCAGAGTAGGCGATAGTCTGATAAATTGGGGTAGAGAGTTCTAGAGGATGGGAGAAGCTCTGGAGAAGTCCTGGAGACGAGCATGGGAGGAGGAGAAAAGGGAGCTAGAGAGTAGGAGGTCTTGCGAGGAGCGAAGAGTACGGTTTGGGTGATATTTAGAGACCATATTGGTGATGTAATTTGGGGCAGAGTTATAAATGGCTTTATACGTTATTGTTAGTGTTTTGAATTTTATCCGTTGGGCAACGGGTAGCCAGTGGAGGAACTGGCAGAGAGGGGTGGCAGATACAGAACGGTTAGTAAGGTGGATGAGTCTGGCAGCAGCATTCATGATAGACTGAAGAGGGGATAGCCTGCGATGAGGTAGGCCAATGAGGAGGGAGTTACAATAGTCAAGGCGAGATATAACAAGGGAGTGAATAAGTTGCTTAGTGGTTTCCGAGGTTAGAAACGGGCGTATCTTGAAGATGTTGCGGAGGTGAAGTCTACACGATTTGGACAGTGATTGGATTTGGGGCTGAAAGGACAGATGGGAGTCTAGGATTACACCTAGTACCCTGGCATGAGGGGAGGGACTGATGATTGTGTTATTGATCTTGATGGAGAAGTCAGGGGAGGGGGCACAGGCTGGGGGGGAATACTAAGAGCTCAGTTTTGGAAAGATTGAGTTTGAGGAAGTGGAGTGACATCCATGCCGATATGTCACTTAGTAGGTTAGTAATGCGAGTGAAGACTGAGGGGGTGAGGTGAGGGGTAGAAAGATAGATTTGTGTGTCATCAGCATAGAGATGGTACTTAAAGCCGTGGGAGCCGTTGGTGTTCACAAGGGGAGCACATATCAATAACAATAAGTTACTGGATTTTCTACCTCTGGGCACAAGACACTTTTTAAAGGGCACTTCATGAGCACTGAATCTCACACAAAGATTTGTGTTGCTGACTTTTGCTTATAATTTACAGTTGCAAGAAAAAGTTTGTGAACCCCTTGGGATTACGTGGAGTTTTGCATGAATTGGGCATGAAATGTGCTCTGAACGTCATCTAAGTCACAACAATAGAAGAACACAGTCTGCTGAACATAATACTACACAAACATTAGATGTTGCCATGGTTTAATTGCACATAACATGTAAACATTCACAGTGCAGGGAGGAAAAAGTATGTGAGGCCCTAGCTTAATGACTTCTCCCAGAGCTAATTGGAGCCAGGAGTGAGCCAACCTTGACTCCAATCAGTGTGATGATATTGGATGTGTTGCTGACAGCTGTCCTGCCCTTAAAAAACACACACCTGTTTTGGGTTTACTGGTTTCAAGAAGCACTGTCTGATGTGAACCATGCCTCGCAGAAAAAAGCTCTCAGAAGACCTACGATCAAGAATTGTTGACTTGCATGAAGCTGGAAAGGGTTACAAAAGTATCTCCAAAAGCCTTGATGTTCATGTGTCCACGGTAAGACAGACTGTCTACAAATGGAGAAAGTTTAGCACTGTTGCTACTATCCCTAGGTGTGGTCGTCCTGTAAAAATGACTGCAAGAGCACAGCGCAGAATGCTGCATGAAGTAAAGAAGAATCCCAGAGTGTCAGCTAAAGACCAACAGAAATCTCTGGCACATGCTAACATTTTTGTTGACACATCTACAATAAGGAAAACATTAAACAAGAATGGAGTACATGGGAGGACACCACGGAGGAAGCCATTGCTGTCCAAAAAGAATATTGCAGCACGTTTGAAGTTTGCAAAAGAGCACCTGGATGTTCCACAGCACTACTGGCAAAATATACTGTGGACAGATGAAACCAAGATTGAGTTGTTTGGGAAGAACACACAACACTATGTGTGGAGAAAAAAAGGCACAGCACACCAACATCAAAACCTCATCCCCACTGTGAAACATGGCGGAGGGAGCATCATGGTTTGGGGCTGCTTTGCTGCCTCAGGGCCTGGACGGATTGTTGTCATTGATGGGAAAATTAATTCCAGAGTTTATCAAGACATTTTGCAGGAAAACGTACGACCATCTGTCCGCCAACTGAAGCTCCGCAGAGGATGGGTGATGCAACAGGACAATGACCCAAAGCATACAAGTCATTCAACAAAACAATGGCTGCAACAGCACAGAATACGCCTTCTGGAGTGGCCCAGTCAGAGTCCTGACCTCAACCCCACTGAAATGCTGTGACATGACCTTAAGAGAGCGATTCACACCAGACATCCCAAGAATATTGCTACACTGAAACAGTTTTGTGAAGAGGAGTGGTCCAAAATGACTCCAGATGGTTGTGCAGGTCTGATCTGCAACTACAGGAAACGTTTGGTTGAGGTTATTGCTGCCAAAGGAGGGTCAACCAGTTATTAAGTCCAAAGGTTCACATACTTTTTCCTCCCTGCACTGTGAATGTTTACATGTTATGTGCAATTAAACCATGGCAACATCTAATGTTTGTGTAGTATTATGTTCAGCAGACTGTGTTCTTCTATTGTTGTGACTTAGATGACGTTCAGAGCACATTTTATGCCCAATTCATGCAAAACTCCACGTAATCCCAAGGGGTTCACATACTTTTTTCTTGCAACTGTATATTGTTTACTATATTTATGCACTATATCATTTACAATAGTTACTGTATGCAATATATTGCAGTGATTGTTATCCACTTTCCCTCCAGAGGATTTACCCCCTCTTAATGACCAGGCCTCTTTTTGCTACTTGGCGCTGCACTATTTCAACTGATAATTGTGTGGTCATGCAGTGCTGTATCCAAACAAAATTTACATCGTTTTTTTTCACACAAATAGAGCTTTATTTCAGTGGTATTTGATCACCTGTACGCTTTTTATTTTCCATGCTATAAACAAAAAAAAGACCAAAAATTTTGAAGAAAAACAATATTTTTTACTTTCAGCTATAAAAAATATATAATAAACTCAAAGTAAGTCATAAATGTAGGCCAAAATGTATTCTGCTATATGTTTTTGGTAAAACAAAAATCCCAATACAGTGAAGGAAATAAGTATTTGATCCCCTGCTGATTTTGAATGTTTGCCCACTCACAAAGAAATCAGTCTAAAAATCGAATGGTAGGTGTATTGTAAAACAGAGACAGAATAGCAGCAAAAAATTCAAAAGAAATGCATGTATAACAAATTATGCACTGATTTGCATGTTCATGAGGGAAATAAGTATATGATCCCCTTCACAAAACACGACTTAGTACTTGGTGGCAAATCCCTTGTTGGCAATCACAGAGATCAGACATTTCCTGTAGTTGGCCACCAGGTTTGCACACATCTTAGCAGGGATTTTGGCCCACTCCTCTTGGCAGATCCTCTCCATGTCATTAAAGTTTGGTCGCTGACGTTTGGCACCTCGAACTTTCAGCTCCCTCCACGGATTTTCAGTCGGATTAAGGTCTGGAGACTAGCTAGGCCACTCCAGGATCTTAATGTGCTTCTTCTTGAGCCACTCCTTTGTTGCTTTGGCCGTGTGTGTTTTGGGTTATTGTCATGCTGGAACACCCATCCACGACCCATTTTCAATGCCCTGGCTGAGGGAAGAAGGTTTTCACCCACGGTTTGATGGCACAGTACCCCATCCATCGTCCCTCTGATGTAGTGCAGTTGTCCTGTCCCCTTAGCAGAAAAACACCCCAAAGCAGAATGTTTCCACCACCATGTTGGACAGTTGGGATAGTGTTCTTGGAGTCATAGGCAGCATTCCTCCTCCTCCAGACACGGCGAGTTGAGTTGATGCCAAAGAGCTTGATTTTGGTCTCATCTGACTACAACACTTTCAACCAGTCCTCCTCTGCATCATTCAGATGTTCAGTGGCAAACTTCAGAGGGGCCTGGACATGTGCTTTCTTGAGCAAAGGGGCCTTGCACGTACTGCAGGATTTCAATCCTTGTCGGTGTAGTGTGTTACCAATTATTTCCTTGGTGACTGTGGTCCCAGCTGCCTGGAGATCATTGACAAGATCCTCACGTGTAGTTCTGGGATGGTTCCTCACTGTTCTCATGACCATTGACACTCCACGAGGTGAGATCTTGCATGGTGCACCAGACCTAGGGAGACTGACAGTTGTTTTGTGTTTCTTCCATTTGCGAATGATTGCACTAACTGTTGTCCCCTTCTCACCAACCTGCTTGGCGATAGTTTGGTAGCTCAGTCCATCCTTGTGTAGGTCTACAATCTTGTCCCTGACATCCTTGGACAGCTCTTTGGTCTTTGCCACGGTGG